GGCTTATATCATCTAATAAAATGAGGAAATTTGGAATTAATATCAACGTTCTAAATTTTGAAAATAAAAATATAAAACAAAACAGAATGAAAGAAAAGTTTTTATATTCTTCCATATTTAGTAGTGTTCTTCAAATTAATATGTCTTCGGTTGAACACAACTCTGTTTGTTTAAAGATAAAAAAACTGTAAAGAATTTCAACTAATTGTTTTCCTTCAAAATTATAATCTTTACTTCGATTTAGTTACTGTTAAAATAAAGCAAAAAAAAATTAAGAAAATAAGAAACCTCAGTTGCAGTAAATTTTTAGTTAATTATAGTTCAAGTGATTCAAGTGATTTAGAAATTGTAATTATAGATCAACTCATGTAACAAATAGATATTCATGCGTCGTTATAAATATATACATATTTATATGTTTCAGTTTAATCGGTTATAAATCACACCATATCCAAATCCTACAGTTTTTATAAAATCACATCCATTCGGTTTGTATGATATATACCAAAAACACATTATCGATTGTTTAATATCTTTTAATAATATAAAATTAAAAAAAACTAAGATATTTAAATCATTGATAACAAAAAATTTCAATGTGAAAAATTTAATAAGTTTATAATTTATAAATGTTGTTGAAAATTCATTGAAATTTTTGAAATTAAAATATTTATGTAATCTTATATGGTATATAGTTTAATCTATATATATATTTGTTTTATTATTGGATGATACTTTTTACTCATATGGTTTAAAAATCATGTGTATCTTTTTAAAATCATGTGTATCTATATCTATATATATATATATATTTGTTTTATTATTTGTTAAACTATTGATCATTAATTTTTAACATAATAATTTTAATAGTTTTAGTCATTTATTCTCGTTTTGTAAAATTTAAAATTTAAAATATACGAAAAAATCTAAAGTTTAATTTTATAGCTAAACTGATGGTTTAATTTATTTTAATAATATAAAATTAAAGAAAAAGTGATGGAGGAGATATAAATTGTTATCAAATATTTATTATTAGAATCATTAATTGTCATATATATATATATATATTAGTTATTTATGGTAATTCCGTATGTTTTATTTAAGGAAAGGAAATAAAATAGTAATTATATCTAGGGAAACAATCATAAAAGCTTCTATGGTAAATATCATATCATATCATCATATCATATAGTTTGACCAATGAATATATCTAGCGACATCCCCTATATATTATTTGAGAATCATTTAAAAAGTTGTAACCTTAAGTTTGTAAGAATTAAAAATAACCCCAATCCTATGTGGCATAGCTCTTTGGCTTTATTTCAAATTCTAAGGATTCTATAGCATCTGATATAATGTATAGTTTAAAAATTATATTCTCTAGCAATAAATTTTTCGTAGGCGTTGGTCGCATATATCAAATATTTATTGTTTCGCATGATTTCCTTAAATAAAACCTACGAAATTACCTAATGTGATTAAAAATATATATATATATATATATATATATATATATATATATATATATATATATATAACAATTAATGATTTTAAACAATGAAGATTTAATAACAATCTGTATACTTTTTTCATTTTGTTTATTTCTTTATTATTAAAATAACTTACACAATTACATTAATCAAATAATAAAAATCTAGATTTTTTTTTGTGTATGTTGTATTTCAAATTTTTCAAATTGAGTATAGATTACTAAAACTGTTAAAAGTCCCACATAAACTTTTAAGATCAAGGTTTTAATTTTTTTTCTATACTAAAATATAATGATTATAAGATCATATGAAGAAATAATTTTTGTTTATATATATTTCATATCATTTTAATTAAACTATACATCGTATGAAAATACACTTATATTTTGATATTTTCCTTGAACATATATTGAAAAGTTAATATTTTAATTTTGAAATATGTCATTGTTTTTTTAAATGATTATAAATTATTGAAACTACTAAACATCTCACATTAAAAAATTCGTTGGTGTAAAGTTTTGTTACACAAATATGCAAATAATCATAAAATCATATGAGTAGAAACCTCATTTAATAAATATCCATATTAAAAGTGTGCTATATTACTATGTTTATATCATTTAGATTTAATTATATATCATATACAATATATAAGATGGATTATTTTGATTTATTTACCCTAATTGTGAATAAACAAGAGTAATAGTTAAATTTATATGCATACATTAATTTATTACATAATAGTAACTCATTTCTTAGTTATTTATTATATATATTTATTATTTTATTATTTATAATATGCAGAAAAATATAAAATAAATAATAAATATAAAATACTTATTGTGCATAAAGTGCCGGTCTTAACCTAAGTATGTATATGTTTAATTATTTTAAATCTTAAATATTTTCTAAATTTCAGGTCAAAACAAACAAAGGAAATGAGAATAAAATTCAAAATAAATATTTATATCGAATAATAACCAAAATATAAAAAAAAACATAGCAAGAGAAAAATGGAAGATAAATAGGATTGACACGTGAACGTAAACATCTCATAACCATAATTAATTTTTAAATTGTTAAATCATGATATAAAACTGAGTTAATTTTTAATTTGTTAACTTTTTTTTTTAAATCATTATGGTTATGTTAAATCATGACCATAATTAATTTTAAATTGTTTATTTGTATTTGAAAAACTTAAAATATTTTTTTTTATAATAATTTAAACTTTAACATAATTTTTTAGAAAACTATTTTAAAAAATAATAATTTGTAAAAAAATATATTTTTCTAATATTATTAGACAAATAAATAATTTATATTAAATTAGTTTAGAAACTTTATATATTTTAAATGCAAATATTTTACCAATCCCTTATATATTAAAGGAGAAACATTTAAAAAATTGTAATCTCAATTTTGTAATAATTAAAAAAGACTCCATGCTTAGGTGTCACTCAATTAGGTAGTCAATTACATTCAATTGAAAAATAAGTAGGTCCACATTCGATTTTTATGTGTCGCTAGATACATTCGTTGGTCAAATTATATGATATGATGATATGATAGGATATGATATTTATGATAAAAGCATTTATGATTTTTCCCCTATATATAATTACTATTTTATCTTCTTTCTATAAATAAAACCTACGCAATTACCATAAATGACTAATATATATATATGACACTTAATGATTCTAATAATAAATATTTGATAACAGTTTATATATCCTCCATCATTTTTTCTTAAATTTTATATTATTAAAATAAATCAAACAATCAAATTATGTATAAAATTAAACTTTAGATTTTTTCGTATAGATTATATTTTGAATTTTAAAAAACGATAATAAATAACTAAACTATTAAAATTAATTAATGATCAATAGTTTAACATTTTTATTATAAAAAGATATACATGATTTTAAAACCATGTAAGTAAAAAGTATCATTCAATAATAAAACAAATATATATACAGATTAAACTTTATACCATATAAGATTACATAAATATTTTAATTTCAAAATCCTGAATAAATTTTCAAGAACATTTATAAATTATTAAATTTTTCACATTGAAAATTTTTGTTATCAATGATTTAAATATCTTAGTTCTTTTTTTAATTTTATATTTTTAAAAAATATTAACAATCGATAATATGATTATTTTTGGTATATACCATACAAACCGAATGGATGTGATTTTATAAAAACCATAGGATTTGGATATGGTTTGATTTATAACCGATTAAACTGAAACATGTAAATATTTATATATTTATAACGACGCATAAATATCTATTTGTTACATGAGTTGAACTATAATTATAATTTGTAAATAGCTAACAATTTATTACAACTTAGACGTCTTATTTTGATCTTTTTCTTTTTTAACAGTAATTAAATTGAAGTAAAGATTATAAATTTGATGGACAACAATTAGTTGAAATTCTTTACAATTTTTTTTTATCTTTAAACAAACAGAGTTGTGTTCAATCGAAGACATATTGGTTTGATGAACACTAAATATGGAAGAATATAAAAACTTTTCTTTCATGCTTTTGTTTTGTTTTTTATTTTTATTTTCAAAATTTAGTGTTTTGGTATTAATTCTAGATTTGATCATTTTATTAGATGATAGAAACCTTTTTTGTTTTTTATTCTTTTATTTAAATATATAATATTTTTTCAATAAATGACTCTGTGACAATATGACTCTAAATATGATCATATTATATATTTGTATAATATATAGTATGATCTCAAACTAAATAATCATGTTTTTTGATATAAAATTGAATAAACTGAAAATCGATGGTATATAAACCAAATCAAACTGAAGTACATATAGATTTAGAATAGTAAAATCTAGCCGAACCGTAACCTGATATCCGGATTGAACACCTCTAATCCGAATGAAACCGAACTATTGTTTCATTTTCAAAACATAATAAAAATAATAGTTTCATTCCGCGCAAGGCGCGGATCTTATCCTAGTATAAAAATTGATTGTAGACCTACTTATTTTTCAATTGAATCTAATTGACTACCTAATTAAATAACACCTAAGCATGTGATCTTTTTTAATTATTACAAAATTGAGGTTACAAGTTTTTAAATGTTTCTCTTTTAATATATAGGAGATTTACCTCATACATTTGTTTGCTTTTTACATTTATTGTCTTAGAACCATTATGATTCAATGTTTAAAGATAAAACCTTAGACTTATAAGTAATTAGGACCTGGTAACTGAAACGAAATAGAGAATGAAAATTGTGAATCAAAGTCAAAACGTAAACTTAAAAACCAACTCATGTTTGGAAAGCAAAATAAAGAAAAAGAAGAGTCTCAACAGAAAGATAAAAAAACAGAAGCAAGCATTAGTGAGTGTAGTTTTATTAGCCAAGCTTGACCTCCTCCACAGCTTCACCACCACAAACCTCTTCAATCTTCTCATCTGCAGCATCTTCAATAGGGTGATGTGGCTGTTATGGTGGGAGAACCTTAGTGACAGTGGTAGATTGAATCTTTCCTGTTAGATTATAATCTGAGACCTTCACTATAAACCTATGTGTCTGCCCTATTGTTTCCAATAGTGCTTGTGGCACAGGCACAACACCATCAGCTTACACACTCTCATTAATCTAAAAAATATCCAGTCATGTGTCAGTGTTAATAGTTGGAGCGGATTGATAGATTAGTAAGAAATTACCTAAAAATAATTTGCAACAAACTCTGATGCATGCTTCCCGGTTAGCTCACGGCCAGCATCCCCAAGTAGGACAAACACAGCCTGCTCACTCTGGTCATACACAGATATTTTGGCCATGTACCTATCATGTAGGAGTATTAGTAACTAAAGGTGCCAATAAAAGGTTCAAACAAAATCTCAATCTTACTCTGGAACGCCTGTGACCTCAGTTCTGTCGCACTTCTTATTGGTACATATTAGAGATTTCTCCCCTTTCGTTGCTTTGGAATGACACCCACCACAGGAGATGTAATACCATATTGAGCCACGCAGCACATCATCAATGGTTGCGGTGCACTCAAACCAAGCTACCTACAATATTGTTTAAGTTAAATCCAAACGCACAAATGTAATCTGTAATGAATTTCTAACGTTGTAAATAATATACCTTAGCAGTTTCCTGCTTTATATAAGCAAACAATTCACTTATGGTGACAATCTCAGGCTTGTCACAATCTCGGCATTGACCTTCTTGGCAATTTCAGAGTTTGCTGTCAACCTGATAAGAATTTTAAATTACAGGTATAGATAAGTTACAAAGCCACGCGTTTTAGAAAACATACCACTCTAGGTATTCCCTGGTTTCGTGGACATCATTGTCCATAAACATGGAAGTGAGAGCTAGGGTACCTACTCATAATGCATAATGCGGGTATTTTAAAATAATGATATTAAAGCACTATGACATATGCCTTGACACGCAAAAACGTTAATCACATCTTAAAAACTAAAAAGATTAGTAACTAATATTTGTCATTATACTACTAACCTCCGAGACGTTTTGGATTCACTGTTGTCACTAAAAGAACACCCATAGAACTTCCATTCGACTTGAAATTCTGTACCGGACCACTGTAAGAAATCAAAAACATGTTAATAATAAAAAAAAATGGAATACGTCATAAGCTTCAATTAGTCTTACTCATGTGTCTAGACATGAACCAAGACGTGCCGCTTTGATGCAATGTCGGCTTCACCAAGTCCTGGACAGTCGGTTACTGACTTTTCTTCCACCAACTTCATGTGGCCAAAAAAGTCTGTAAGCAAAACAAACAGTGTCAGACGGAAAACCATGATAAAAGACAAATAGTGTATCAAACCCACCATAAAGGTCTCCTTTCAGGTCACAGTTAGCCCGGAACTCCACTTGGGTATAGAACCGAAACCGGTCTTCAGGGAATGGAACCAGCTCAGGCGTAAGAAGTGTTAGCACCGAGTTCCATGAGAACGTCACAGTAACATGATGATTAGCAACACGGAAATTGTCTTTGCTACTGGAGCCGAAAAAGTTCCTCAGCTTATACACACAACCGGCTTTCAAGTTAGGCAGATGAGCATCAACACGCCCTGCTGGAATAAAGCCTTGAATCGCAGTTCCCTGTTAACCATATAATGTGAGTACCAAACAAAAGGCTCCATTAAAGACCGTGTGAAATCTTAACAAATTGGAAACCAGTTAAAGACGTGTGAAATCTAAATCAAAAGGTTTGGCATCTGTGTTCTAGTATAAGGTTTTTATTTTTATTAACACTTGAATTTCCGTTCGTGAAAGTATATACTGAGCAGGTTTTTTTGTTTAAAATTTTTGGGAATCATTTTTCTTTTGCAGCTATCCAGAAACTAATCTTGTTTACACACAAATAATAGAGATCAAAGTATTTTTCTCTAGAATATAATAGAACATTCAAAACAAAACATTTACAAAAAAATCATTCCCATGAAAATCAAAACCTTTTTTTTTATTTAACAATTTTCAATTAAAGACCGTGTGAAATATAAATCAAAAGGTTTGACCTCTCTGTTCTAACTACATACCTAGGGATGATGAAAACATGATATTCTAGCAAAGCAGTCAAAGCGGCAATAAAGATTTGTTAGAACAACTAAAACGGAACGATTAATATGCCAATGACAGGAAACCAAGGACATTATCATACCAAAACTCATCAATCATCTAAAAATGTAGAAGTCGAGTTAAAGTTAGATGTAGACCTTCTCATGGATGAGGAGCATCTCCTCTCCGATCAACACTTTTGTACGCGGGTTTCGCGCCTCCCAGAAATGGATGAGACGAAACCACAATTCAGCTTCATGTGGGCCCTGAGTAACGTCGGCAAAGAACAGCATCTCTGGACCTTCCTTTTCAGGAACAACACCCTTGCCGTGACGTTTGGGTGAAATCATGGAGTTCAGAGAGCTTTGGCCGATAAGTTTCACCATCCTTTTGGAGGAGCCACCGTCTCTGGAATCTGGACAGTGGTGTTTCAAATCAACCGGAGTGGATGCCCATCGGTCTTCGAGATCTTCTTCTCATCTACGGGGGAGGAGTTGTCGTTTCGTTTGGATGCCATCGGATTGAGCTCTTGAGATAGGTTTGGGAAAGAACTCTTGAGATAGGTTTGGGAAATACACAAAATCACAATCTCAATTTATAATGAGTTAGATGGATAGTAAGATGCGAAGAAGACACTGAATGTGTGAGAAGAAGAATTGATGGCACGAAATAGTGGAGGAGATGGATTTCGAAACAGATTTGTAAAAGGAAGAGGTGAAGAGATGGGAGAAAGATGAATCGTGAGAGCATGAGTTCATCGGCCATGAAAAAATAACCTAGGTCTTACCATCTCTCTCGCGACTGGACATGGATTCCGTTTGTAGGCCGGGTATGTAATTTCGTTTGGAGTCCAAAGAAAATAACCCCAACTGTAATAGCATCTCCAATGGTGTTATCACCATTGGAGTCCTTAGCCTTACTTTTTTTTTTCTTTTTTTTTTGGAATAGTTAAGGATTCTTGTCAAAAGTATTTGTCCAATGGTGTTAAACAATTAGAAATCCTTAGAAATAAAAAAATTATAAAATATGTGAAATTTAAATTTTTGTGTGTTCACTTGCTATTTTGTGCTAATCTCTCCTTGATGAACTCTTGATCTATGAGTATGGGCGACAGAGGAATGTACATGTTTTCCCATTTACAATCCCAGTTATATATCATCAGACCAAAAGCTTTTCATATCGAAACAAAGGGTATAAAAGAAGAACCAACATACTTGTCCTTTGCTAGCTCGGCTCTCTCACTTAAGCTCCTTGATTCTAAGTTATTTAAAAAACTTAAAGCTGTACCCATTCTTTCTACTCCTTCCTTCATCCTGCAACCAAAACGTACAAAATCATTGGATTCTTCAGACCAAATCAGAATTAGACTTCTCAACCGGATTCAAATAAGAGATCATGTCCCTGCTCTGATTTGTCCCAAGAAATTTTTACTCTAAACATTAAAAAGCATTCTACAAGGTTCTCACTTCTCAGGTTCTGGACTGTACTGTAAATTTTAACCCAGCACATACCATTTATAAGCTAAATAAACAGAGACTGTGTCAACTAAAGATGAGAGACCATACCTTCAGGTTCTTTTGCGTTTCACAGGCTTCATATCGTTGGAAATGAAACTAATCACTTCCTTTAGTGTTGCTTTCCTTCCTACTTCGAAATTCCAAATTTCTGGGGTGCTGTATCGACCACTTGCAATATACTCATTCATTTCCTCGAGAGCTGTTTTAACGGCGTTGTGCACCTCTTCTCCCCACTCGGCTTTAAGCTTCTTCAGCTTCTCATCCGATTCGTCTACCACTTCCTGTAACCAACACCATTACTGCTGACTACAAAGCAGTTATGCCAAACACATATGGATAAAAGTACCAACATTCAAAGCATCACTGGTTTCTCCTACATATTCAACTAAAAATGGCTGCAGATTAAAAAAGTATCTCCACTTTTCATTGAAAACGTGATTAACATAAAACAAACATAACTTAAAACAAACATGCTCTCTTCTTCTTGGGCAACTTAGTCAAAGCTTTGGAGCTGTATGACCACAAGAAACACTATTAAATGTTAAGAGAAAAATTATAGTTAGTGTTTCAGTTAAAGTAGGGTTTTCTCTCTCGGGCACGAAGTACGAGGCCGCCGCATCTCAGAATGAGCTCCCCCCTCCGGCTCGTTCCCCGGTGACAGCTCCTCTCTCAGTTTGTTGGCGTCTCTTCCTCTTCACTGCCTGTGACTTCTCTCACCGGCAAGAGCTTCTCTCCGACGACTTCTGTGGTGACTGAGCTTGTACGATGGTCGTCTTCTTCTCCCCTTCTCCAGCGTTGATGACTCAGATTGTGCAGCTCCGAACCTCTCTCTCTCTCCGGTGGTCTCCCCATCCTACAGATCTGAACCCGGGACCTCCTCCGAAACCTCCAGATCCACCGGATCCTCCAAATCTGATATCTCTAGAGCAGCGACAGCCTCCGCAACCGCCGGATCCACCGGATCCTCCTCTCGTCACTTCTACTGCAACTCTCGTCACAGCCGCTTCTCCTGCTATTTTTGTCACAGACACTCCTCTGCTTAGTGCAAGTGGAATCATTGGACCAGCCATGAGCCGCTGTTCAAGCGCTATACCTAGTTCTGACAAACTTCATCTCAGATCCGCGTTGCCTCCAAGCTCTCTTACTGCCGCAACCAAGCTCCTCAGTTCCGGAGGGGTTGACGTCAGCCATGGTCTCTTCTCAGGTTGGGCCTGGCCCATGAATCAAGATGAAGTGTTCAGCCCATATCCACACCTCTTGAGAAATACTCCTCACCTCTCTATCAAAGCTCGTTCTCACATCTTCTTTTTGAATGAGGTTCGTGACTGGTTGCTCAGGTTTAGTTTGATTACAATTCGTTCGTCTTGTCACGGTAATGTCGAGGTCCGAAGGATTGATCTGATTAGAACTTTTGCTCCGTCACCATACCTCATCATTCTCAGCGCTTTTAGAAGGATTAAGTTGTTTCCGTCACATCGTCATCTTCCGCACTCCGTCGTCAAAGTCGTCAAACCTAAGCGTGTCACCAAAGAGGTCAATGAGCTGATTTTAGTGGACCTGGTCCAAATTTGGGTTTTTGAGAGCCTTTCACATCTGTGTTTACGGGTTCACATAGCCCAATTTAAGAGCTTCTCACATTCAGCTCCTGAACTACTGTTCTTGTTCTTCAGTATCAAATTAAGTCAATTAGGACTTCGGTTTTCAGAAAGCTTCATCAGCTTATCCTTTATTGCAGAGGCCATCGTGATTCGATCGGCATTTCGCATGGCGCTAACCTTGAAGTTCTCCACACTCAAGGTTCTCTCCGACAGTTTAACGCTAATCAGAGCTATCTCCGGCAACCTCCAGTCAAAAGAAATCATCGGAATTGTGAAAGGCATCCGATCGATCTCCTCTGGTTTTGCAACAGTTTACCTCTATCGTGTTTGTAGATCGGACAATTTAATTGCTGATGTTTTAGTAAAAAGGCTCTTCAAGCTTTTTTCTCTTTGTATCAGACATCATGATTTGAGCCATCGTTTTGAGTTCACTTCTTTTTCTTAGTTTTCTAATGAAATTTTCAGTGACAAAAAAAAAAAAAAAATGTTAAGAGAAAACTGTAGAATAAGATCCACATATACAGTACAGAGAAAAAATCTGTGTAAGCTATTGATTAACAAATCTTATTTCCTATAGCTTGTAGCTATCAACTGAGAAAGTATTGATCATGTAAAGCATTACCACTTTATATCAATTCTGCTATGAATCATCTTCATCTTCGAGATAAGATTCAGCAGCCTGATTCCAATCAATAGTTTTCCTCTCTTAAGTGTTTTCTCATACTCCTCTTTGACCAGATTAACAAAATACTTGAACGACATTTCAGGTCGTGGGTTGGTAAGTGCGAGTGTCACACTTGTGCTGTTTGGTAAAAGAACCTTGAGCTTGTACAACTTATCTTCTTCATCATCGTCATCATTAAGAACCAGTGCTCTCTTGAGCGGTCTCTGGTTACTCATCTGAAATACAAAGTTATGAGAAACCCTACAAAAAGAGAGAAAGAAAAAACTTCCACGGTGAAGAAGAGAAACTATAATTTACCTTTTGAAGGGAAAAGGCAGAGAAAGAACTGTAAAACGCAACCAGATGAGAAGAAGAAGCAGGAGACGAGAGAGAAGTTAGGCAGAGAAACTATAGCCATGGTGTGGCCATTGCCAAGCTCCCCACCGTAAAATCCAAGCTCTTCTCCATCTCCACCATCTAACTCCAATTCAACCTCACCTTCGCCGCCTCCTTTTGTTTCCAAACCCTAACTTCGAAAGGTGATCCCCAAATCGATTTCAAAGGAAAATCCAACCATAAAATGAGAGGTTGAATCAATAAATCAATCAAAGGAGCCTTTGATTTACCTTGTAAATCTGAGGGGAAGAAATCGCCTTTCTCACAGACACTTTTTTTTTTCCTATGTAGAGTAGAAACTGAAACACATCGAAAACGAGCCCTCTCTCTCCACTGCCACATCAACAAGGATTGAATCCTTAAAAGCCTTACCTACTGATCAATCCTTCCATGGACATTGGGTTTTATTATTAAAAAATGTCCAATTGCATATGTACTTGCGCCAAGGACCTCCAACGGACCTGCGTTGGACTTGCTCTAAGGCTGTCGCTGACGTGGACATTTCGAACTCCCCCATTGGCCAATTATTATTGTTGACATGGACATTCTTATATCCTCTTATATCGACATTTTACTTATAGTAGATAATAAAATGATTTATTTATTTATTTTAGGATTTATCATCACAAAATTATAGTTTTTTTTTCATAAAAACTATGGTTAAAAAACTATATTTTATTATAAACAGTTTTTCACACAATCGTTATTTAGAGTCTTCAACATGCACATAATTTTTTGTGGCTATAAGATACATGTATTGATGGTTTTATTATCACTAATTACATGATAAAGACTAATCACGACAAACTCCTATTTTTTTTTTTTTATTAAATTGTTTTAGTATCATGTTTATCATCAAAATATTTATGTTTTATATTACTGCTAAATAATTTTTTTAAATTATCATTTTCTTATGATTTAAAATTTTCATTTTCTTATGATTTAAATCTTTTTTCTTTAGGATTTGTAAAAGGAAAACTACAGTTAAAAACATTTATTTTTTTAATTGTAAACCATTTTTCAAATTAATATATTTACAATTATTTTTTTACTTTCTTAGTATATATATTTTTAATCATATCATATTCTAATACATGTGATAATATTAAAAGGAAAATTATTATCAAATATGTTTTTTTGTAAATATCATTTATTTAGGATTTAAAAATAGAAAATTACTATTACATAATACTTTTAAATTATTTTTAACAAAATTCGTTTTTATAATTATCTAAATAATTATATATATATATATATTAATATTTACATATTATTTTTAATATATATTAATCATGAGATAATTTAAGATATATCACAATCTTAAATATATAATTGAATATATTAATAATGAGATATATATTATAAACGGTTATTCCCACAATCGTTATTTAGAGTCTTTAACATGCACATAAATTTTTGTTGCTACATGTATTGATGGTTTTAGTATGGGTTTTCTGCAAAAAAAAACCCTCAATGTGGTTCTTTTTTGCAAATTAATCCCCAAACGGAAAAATCCACGGATCAACCCTCTAAATGCCAGTCAAACTTCAATATAATCCTCGGCCGTGTATTTGACTGTGTATAATTTTAACATTTTTCAATACTAAGTAACTTTATAATGAAAAAAATTAGTAGTGCTTTGGTAATAACTTTTTAATGAAAAAAATTAGTAGAAACTAGGAATTGAACCTTGAACCTTATACATAATCTACATGCTACATAACCATTTCAACCAATAGATATATTTAGATGGACATGGGATCTTGCATAACTACAATAAAACATCTATAAATCAATACTTTATAAATGAATAATTCTCACCAATTAAAATAATAATCTAATATTTTTTTTTAAAAAAATATTATGTAAATATATAGTCACAATGAAATTATCTTTATATTTTCTTAACAATTAATATATTTTTGATAAGATTTAGTAATATTATACTAAAACCACATTTAAATTCTATACAATATATATTATATACATCAAATCTTATACTATAAAGAAGAAGGGGATTCTCTTCTCTTCAATACACCTCATCATATGACATCACTAAATAGTTTCTCCCCAGCCTGCCACGTGTACACGTCAAGACGATGCGTTATAATCAGTTTCCTATGTTATGGGCTTATTGAGTTTTTTGGCCCACTGCATTTAGATCTGTGGCCCAATCGAGAGTCAAAAAGTCTCGCATCTCCTTCGTTGGTGAATTTAGAGTTTACTCTGTAACTTGAAGCCAGCCGTAATGGTGGTTGAGTAGGAGATGCGGTCGTCACACGGAAGGCACCCACATAAGGATCTGGTGGTTGAGTAGGAGCTGTGGCTGTTACTGAACGGAGGGAGAGATTAGGAGAGAGAAAGTGTGAAGGAAAGGGCCATGTTTGTGGAGGTTGGGAAGAGGAATGGTTCGACCACATGTGGTGTTACATATCCCGGTGGAGCAGAGTAGTCGTGTCTTATCCTTTGGTCTCCACATACCGGCCAAAGAAATCCGGAGAGTTAAGCAAGTGTGTTGAGTCCAAACGTCGTCTATAACGCCATCACTAACATCAACTTCCCAATCCTGTCATGATCTCTCATTCAATGCCCCTCCCATTACCTGCATTGAGTGAAACTACGAGTATAAATATGTAAGTTTCAATTATCTGCAAATCATCACTTCAATCCTTTGACTCTCAATGGAGGTACAATAATGGCAAATTTGCAATGTCTGGTTTCGGAGTTGAAGGCTGGTAGATATATAGAGACTTTTGTGACAAGGCTTCTGCATTTTTGGGAAGCACATAATGTGACTAACGGTGGTGATCTCATGGCTGTTTATATTGCTTTGGTGGATGAGAAGGTATATTTTTCTTAACTTATGCTCTGATATTTTACACCAAAAGTAGAGTTTATTATTTCTATTAACCAGACGCCCGTTTCTATTATATTCTCGGAGAGACCAATTTTGTTGAGATTGTATAGAGCATTTACCCTATCCTTACGTTTCATATCTCTTTGTAGTTACAAAATGGTCAACTCTAGGATAAGACAAACGAGAGAAAAAGTAACTCTTTCTTGGCATGTTCTTTGAATCATTACCACTTCTTAAGATTTTTCACGCACACCTCAGATATATCGTATTTAGTTGTTTCCATCTCCTTTAAAACACAGATATTTTGTCTTCCAGCTTTTAGTTGTCCCAATCATATAGTTTCTAATTTTATAGTTATAGTTATCAAGTGGTTTAAAGCATATATAAATACAATTATGTTTCTAAACATTAGTAAAGAGATAAATATAGAAGTGTCTTGAAGATATTCTAAGCAACTTTTATTTTTCTTCTAAACGCATCTTACCTCTCTGATAATCCACACTGTTCATATTTTATTATGAAAATCAAATCTTATATAAAACAAGTGTCTAAATATATCAATCACTACTCAGTTTTCACACTTTTCAGTTTCAATATTTATTTATTTATTCTTGATTAGGTTTGTTTTACTAAATTCTTTGCATTCGATATAACATTCTACTTTTAATAAAAAATTCAATTTAAAATAATCGCCACTTCCATTCCAATAAGACTTTGATTTCAACATAAATAAGTAATTACTCTTATGAAATTCACAAAAAATTAACTATAATCTAATCATTCTGAACCTAAAATATTACAAACCATAAATAACACATCGGATATGAGATCGGATTTTTATAAGGAAAAAAACGATATGAAGCAAAACATGTTTTAGTGTTTCAGAAAAAAAAAACATGTCTTATCACATATAATTCTTCCTCAATTAAAATTTTCTAAAAGGCAAAAATCATTATTATACATATATTTTTTGCAAATGCAAACTTAAAACACAAACCAAAAATTCATATGAAAAATAAAAATTTAGATCACAAGTAAATTATATCCCGCCCGTATGACGGGCCTATCCTAGTAGTATAATAAAATTAATATAAATGTAAAATTCTTAAAAATAATAATTAATGTCTATACATTAAAACCAAATATTTTTTTTATCTTAGAATAAATATATTTTAAAATTAAAAATCTAAATATATACATTTTTGTAAATTAATAAATTCTAAAGTCCCATCATTATTAATTTATAGAGATTGTAATGTATAAGTAAATAGAATTGATAAAAGTAAATGTTTGAGTAACAACCCAATGATGGCCCCCATATTCCTTACACAAGCTCCCATGTCCAAGGGAGAAAGAAGAAACAAGGTCATTTTGAAATGAATTTAGAAATATATATAACTGCTTTTGTTAAATGAACAAATATATCCGTTTACTTAAACGGGTATGTAGCATGCATATTGTGTATAAGGTTCAAGGTTCATATCCTAGTTTCAACTAATTTTTTTATTAAAAATTTACTGCCAAAACGAAGAAATATTGAAAAATGTTAAAATTATACACGATCGAGAGTTATATTGCGGTTTGACTGGAACTTGGAGGGTTGATCGGTGGATTTTTTTTAGTTTGCGGATTAATTTGCAAAAAAGAACCACATTGAGAGTTTTTTTACAGAAAATTCTTTTATTATCACTAATTACATGATAAAGACTAATCACGACAAACCTTTTTTTATATTTTTTGTTAATTAAATTGTTTTAGTATCATGCTTATCATCAAAATCTTTATGTTTTAAATTACTGTTAAATAATTTTTTAAAATTTTCATTTCTTATGATTTTAGAAATAAATAATTATATTCTTTAATTTTTTTTATTTATAACCTAAAAACAAAAAATAATATCAAAATACTATTTTACATTTTTGTTTAAGATTTTAGAAAATAAAGATTACTATGATAAAATCATTTACAATTATCTTCAATTTAGAATTTCCAAAAATTAGATTACTATCAAATAATTATTTCAATACTATTAAATGATTTTAAAACTACTTCTTTACAATTTGTATCACTACTATTTTTACAGTTAGTTTTTTATTAATAAAATTATTTAAAAATCAGGCATAAGCACAATGGTACATAAAGAAAAAAGATTGACATTGACATTAACTTACCACAACAGCATAAATAATTTTATAGTGTCTCTAAAAACAAACACAAATAAGCATAATAGATACATTAACTTACATACAATATCAAAATACTATATACAAACACCTAAGTATAACTATTGCAATAACAAGTGTACAACAACATGATAAGTAAGACAACAATAAAAATCATCATCAGTTTAAACATAAAAGAACCTAAATATTTTGAAATATTTATTCTACAAATATTATTTGTTTAGGATTTGAAAAAAGTAAAAATACTATTATAGATTCTCTTATAATTTTCTTATGTTCAAGATTTTAGAAAATGATAATTACTATCAAATATGTTTTTCAATTACCATTTCTTCAGGATTTTGCAATTCTTTTTTACTAAAATATTTTAAAAGAAAATGGTTTATAAAAATTGCTAATAAATAATTTCTAAAAATTGTAAAAATCTCTTTCGTTATCTTAGTATATATTCTTTTAATCATGATTTTAAAATATATAAAATTTTTAAACAAAAAATTAGTATCAAATAGTCTTTTACATAAATGTTTTTCTTTAGGATTTTAGAAAACCCAATTAGTAATTAATAATTTATTTTACGAATATCTTTTTTTAGTATTTGTGAAAAGGAAAACTACAATAAAACACTCTTTATTTTTTTACTTTTAAATCATATTTAAAATTATTATTTTCGAAATTCGTTTTTATGATTTTAAATCTTTTTCTTTAGGATTCGTAAAAGGCAAACTACAGTTAAAAACGTTTATAGATCTGCAAAAATAGACGTGAAAAAAAGAAGCGCGATAAGAACGACAGTGAGAACGATGTTTTATGCTCTTCTTTAGATATAACTTACGGGCGGCAGAGTTCAACGAAACGCCTCTAAGAGAAACGACGCTAGGGTTTCCTCTCAGATCTGAAATAGAAGAAGTGGCAGTGAGAACGGTGGTGATAACGACGGTGGTAAGACGGAGAGAAAACCGGCGTTGAGAACAATGGATTAGAGAAATTCGACGAAAATCGCCTTTGAAATCACCTTTGAGAGAAACGGTGTTAGGGTTTTCTGAATTTTGCGAAAAAGTGAGTAAAAACAAAAAAAATTCTTATATATTTCCAGTAAAAAATCCGGTTAGGTTTAAAAGTATTTTGGTAAAATCAAAGGTTCGGTCCAGTTTGGACGACTTATTATTAAGTCGTCTGTTCATACTATACATCAGACGACTTACTAGTAAGTTGTCAGCCTTAAATATATTTACCAGACGACTTAATAGTAAATCGTCTAAACCTTAAACCCTAAACTAAATTAACTAAATTAACTAACTAACCACGTTATAAAATCAAATTATACTTAAATAATGTTTAATATACAGAAAGAAACACACTTAGGTAATTTTTTCAAAAAGACATTTATGCTTTCGAAAATATTAACCTTAAGAAACACATACAATACTACAACATATGTTAGTAAAACCTAAACCAAAGAATATCATGACTCACTACTTTCACTCATTTATGTTGAAAACAATTAAATTTTGTTATATCTTAATTTCTATCTCTTAAAGCATATGTTAATTACATGATTTCAAATTTTCACTTATCTAAATATTTTTTACAAAAATTTTAAATTATTTTTAAGAATAACTATACTAGACGACTTAATTGAAAGTCGTCTGGATACAATAGTTACGGGGGTTAGAAACATAAAACAAAAAAATTCGGGTTTTTGTTTATTCACAAGAGGCTGGTTGTAATTTCAATAGCCTTTTAGGTTACTTTTGCATTTGATTCATGTTTGGGTTTACTTTTTCATTTGAAACTATATTTTGAGTCATATTTGGTAAATTTCCCTCAGAATATTATCGTTATATTCATTTATGTACTTTTGAGTCCAAATTTCAGTTTATTTTATTTTCATTATAAGCATAATATATATTAAGTTATACATAATCTTACTAAAATATATTTACATATTTACATATATAAGATGATAACCAATCTAAATGCAATAACAATCAAAGTTTTAATATATTTAGAAGAAAAATATTATAGTTGAATTCAGAAAAATAGATGCAATTTAAAATACACAAGTGTAACCAAATCGACTATTGACAAAAAAAATAACCAAACCGATTAAATATAACATCTTCCAAATCATATGTCTAATTAAATAATATAATATATATTAATATAATTTATACATATAAATTATAAATTAATTTATAACTAAAAGTAAATATCTATCTAAATTAATAAATTAGAATATATTACAATATATTTACTTGATAAATATTCATATTCGTGCATGAGCACGGACAAATCACATAGTATTAATTATGAGATAATTTAATACATGTCACAATCTTAAATATATGATTTCATACATTAATTATGAGATAATTTAACTTTGATAATATTAAAAATAAAATTATTATCAAATATTTTTTTGGTAATTATTTAGGAGTTAAAAATGGTAAATTATTATTACATAATATTTCTAAATTATTTTTTTAACAAAATTCGTTTTGTCATTATCTAAATAATATATATATACTAGGGTCGGTCCGCGCGGGATAAGATTTTCGTGTTATATATATTGCTATATAATTATATATTTTCATTGTATGTATTTCATGATAGGATTTCAAAAAAAGTGTAATAATGTTGATGGGTTTAAAGTATTTTTGGGTGAAGAAAATTTATAAATATTATGATTAATTATTTTAGATTATGATAGTTGTGTTTATATTGAGAAATTTTAACATATACACAATTATAATTTTGGGTGAGGTGGTAACAGGAATTGAAAAATGTTAGTTATTTGATACCATATCTTTTTAGGGTAGGTCTATGTTATACGCGGATGTGGTAATTTGTTTGTGATATTTGTTGGAAGATATTAACTTTCATTTTATGTTTTCGTTTAACATCTGTTTTTATTTTGCTAATTTTGATTATATTATGTAGAAATATATATATAATTATTTCTGTCCAAATAAACAATTATTTTATGTATTATTTTGTCATTTTCTATTGAATTTGTTTGTTTCAGTTTTTATTTTTGTTGCATTTGACTAAATTTTACATTATAATTGTTAAAATAATGAATGGAGCTATGTTATATTTTATTATTTTTGTAAAGATCTTTTAATCTATTTGTTTTATTTAATCATTTATTAGCACTTTTGTTTTTATGTGTTCTTTGTCGGATTATTTTTATTGGTCTCTAGC